CTGCTGAAAAAAAAAATATAGATATATATATATTATTTTTAATAGATAAATTCTAAAAACTATTTTTAATTTGTATCCAAACATACACATGATCTATTACATACTTAAAACAAAGACTTAAATTCTAAACAATTTCATTAAAAAACACAAATGACTATCATTATGTCAATCAATATTGATCGGTATGTTTGTGTTTAACAGAGTTTTAATATATATATATAAAAAATTAGACTGATTTCTTTTAAGGTTTAATTTAATTATACTCGATATTTTATCTTAAAAAAATATTTTTTTTTCCAAAAAAATTACTTATCCTTCTTTGAGTTTTAATTAAGATTATTCGTCTTCTACAGGAGGTAAATGGAGTTATTCTACCGACCTCCCTTAAATGGAGTTAGAGCAAATTTTTAAAAAATTATATAAAGTATAATTAAGTCATTTCGTCCTCAAACAAAAAATATTAAGTCAAATTTCAAGAAAAGTACTGTAATCTTCCTTTCGAAAATGTATAATTAATTCATTTCATGTCACCAAATACAACAGCAAACAGTTATGGTCAAAAGTGAAGTGACAGATTTAAAATAATGCAAAAAGTCTATTTCATTAAATGATTAATATTATAAGTTAATAGATATTCATTTCGTGTTTGAAAGTTTTTATATTAATTAATTGAAAACATTTTTTTATGACTAACAGAAAGTCGAGAAATAAACATTACTCTGTCAATACATGTATTATTTATTTTTAATTTTATTTGTACAGGTTTTTATACAATTTTTTTGTTGTAATTTTCACTATTTGAAGGGAATTTAGAACTTTTTGGTTCGACCGCAGTTACTAAACTTAGTTAGACCGTGACTCAACCAAGGTGTTAAGTCATTAAATCATGGGTTCAAGTTCAACAGTCACTAATCAAACCAGTTGCACTTTTGGTGGAGTTGGTTGCTATTATTTTAAGCATTCAATAGGTCTCAAATTACTGACATTTATACGAATTTGGGTGATACAAAATTCTATCTTCAATCTCTTTCCAGCAACATTAATAATCATTAAATATATCTAATAACTCAAATTTAATTTTATAATTGATGTAACTTTTTAAATAATTTTTATAAAATTAAATTTAAGTCATTATATATATTTAATAATTATTAATATTGCTAGAAAGAGATTAGAAAAAGAATATTACGAGAGAGAATTTAATTTCATTATTTTTTAAGTAATCACGGTTTCCGAAACGGGGTATTGCATTACAATAACACGGTAAAACAGCGGTCTCAACCATTTCCAGCACCTAACCTACATATAATCGGAGAAGCAAATCACATTACGAAACCCATCACTCCAACAAACTGCAGCAGAGCCCAGATCTCGGCATGCATAATAATGCAAATACCAACTGAACCGTAGTAGCTGAACAAATTGTACTATAATAAGTAGAGCAACGGGTGGGTTTGGTCGAGTTCGGGTGAAAAATGTTCAACCCGTTATAAACCGACTTTGAAAAAATGTGACTCATATCCGACCGACTGAGCTTTCGATTTGAGGCGGTTCGGGTTGAAACGGATTCGGATTTAAGCGGGTGGGTATAATCGGGTTTGAATTTTTTTGTAGACCAATTTATCTTAACGAAGGTGAAGCTTAAAACGATAAAAAATATTTTTAAAATAGTGTATAAAAATAGAATGAAGGTGAAAATAGATGGTGTAAATAGATTCGTAGTTGAAACATTTACAAACTAAAGAAGCAAAAATAAAAGATAACAAAATTCATAGTTGTTACATGGAAAAGAAATATAAAGTTAGATTACAAAACCATAAGAAATCACAGTCACACAAAATGTACTCAAAATGGAGATAAGAAGATGGAAAAGAAAGACAAAGAAAGAAGCAAAAAGATAACTCTAAAAATGGACTAGTGTGTTGAGAAGTTGAATGAGGAAGGAGAAGACAAAATAAATATCTAAGTTATGAGAAAAAGGAAAAAAATAAGTTACAAATTGATGGCTATATTATACTTGAAATAAAGACTTTTAAATTTGGACCATTGTTGTTTAGTTATACAAAAGTAATAAAAATTTAAACTTATCTCATTTTCGGTTGGGTTCGCTGATTTACCCATAAAACCCTCCCGAACCCACCCAAAAACAATATTTTTCTTCGGGTTTTTCGAGTTCGGTTCGGGTGTCGGTTTAATGTTCACCCCTAATAATAAGTACAAATATTTAAGTTGCTTTTATAATCGAACGAAAAGTAAGATTAAACTATTTTATATAAATTATAAGTTGTTTTTATGAGTTATCCCAAAAAAACAACTTATTGAAATAAATTTAAATTAATTTATCAACATATCACAAGTTATTTTCATAAGTTTTTCAAATACGTATTCAAATATTTATGTCACAAGATAAGTTTTAAAAAAAAGTGTCTTGAGATAAGACTAAAATAATTGTAGATAAACTCTTTTAAACAAGATCATAATATTCAAAAAGTATGAAATAATTACTTATTCAATTGAACTTACATGATTATTAGATGAAAATATTGAATTTATAAATATGTTTTTTTTTAATTGTGTATATTTATCTTTCAAATTATATTTGGTTATTATATTACATATATAATTATTCTTCCGGATACTTTTATAGAGACTCATCATCTAATTCACTATTATTAAAAAAAATTATTAGTTTAGTTATTACTATTAAATTTATCATATATTTATAACAAGACTCTTATTTTAATAACTACTTATTAAATTAAGAAAAATAATTTTAATTAATGGTATTTCATGTAAAATAACTAATTCAAAAATAACTATTTTATAATTATTCTTATAAAAAAGACCGAATGTCATTTTTTATTTTGGCCTTAAAAATTTACCAGAAAGAGTATTAGTCTTAATTAAGTTATATATCCATTAAAAAAACCGTAATTTTTTTTATGTGCTGCATCTCATTTTTTTTATGTTTCTAAACGCATCTTCCATAGAACACTTCTTTTACCAAATAGTTCCTTTTATTTCTTTTTTTCACTTTTTCATTAGTTTTCTCTATACTTCTGGACTTTTTTTTTCCCTTGGTACTTCTAGATGGAGACCAAATGGAAATTTCGTAACAAAAAAGAGGATAAATGTGAAATTCGTGATATTTAAAGACTTAAAAAATAATATTTATAATATTTACAGGGATCAAATGGGAAATAAAAACTACACAAGAACCATTTCTCAAGGTAAAATTTTTCTAATGCCTCATTTGAAGAAAAAAATAGACTTATCTTGATTTTGAATAAAGTCTAAAAAAGTTAGAATACTTATCTTAAACAAAATTGTTTCTCAGAGATTTTTTTTTAGGTAAAGTGAAATATATTAAAAGGGGTACTCCAACCCATAAATAGTTAAAAAAATAATCAAAATGAAATTGTTTTCTTAGAGATTATTATGTAACAAGAATGATTTTAGTTTTTTTTTTTCAACATGAATATTTTTAGATACTCTTTAATTCTTTATCTATTTATTATTTTGTTATTTCTAAATTAAAATTTAATATTTGTTTAAAATTTATTAATGGATAAAATAATTATTTAATTTATTTATCATAAATTCTTAGTATTATTATTACAATTAAATCCTCTCTTTAAATATAAATTAGAATAATTCTTTAAATAAGAATTTTTTTATAAATTATTTTTAATAAGAGTGATTTTAGTTATTTTTCTTAAAATGAGATGATTTAAT